TCCCAGGTTCTCTGGTTGTCCAGGGACGGGAGACACTGACTCCGACTTGTAAGTTGTCCAGGCCAGACTTGCCTGTTTGGCCGAGTCCTGTGCCGAGTCCAGCAACACTACTGTGGAACAAAACAGGACATTTCAGTTAGAACACCTGGGAACAGAACATAACATTTCAGTTAGAACACCTGGGAACAGAACATAACATTTCAGTTAGAACATCTGGAAACAGAACAGAACATTTCAGTTAGAACACTGAGGAACAACAGAACATTTCAGTAAGAGCACTGAGGAACAGCAGAACATTTCAGTAAGAGCACTGAGGAACAACAGAACATTTCAGTAAGAGCACTGAGGAACATCAGAACATTTCAGTAAGAGCACTGAGGAACAACAGAACATTTCAGTAAGAGCACTGAGGAACAACAGAACATTTCAGTAAGAGCACTGAGGAACAACAGAACATTTCAGTAAGAGCACTGAGGAACAACAAAACATTTCAGTAAGAGCACTGAGGAACAGCAGAACATTTCAGTAAGAGCACTGAGGAACAGCAGAACATTTTAGTAAAAGCACTGAGGAGCAACAGAACATTTCAGTAAGAGCACTGAGGAACAACAGAACATTTCAGTAAGAGCACTGAGGAACAACAGAACGTGTCAGTAAAAGCACTGAGGATCAGAACATTACAGCAACACCACTGGGAAACAGAACAGAAAATTAGCAAGAACACTGTGGAACAGGACAGCATAAACAGGACAGCATAAACAGGACAGCATGAACACTGTGGAGCAGAACATTAACATTACAGCGATGCCATTCTGTAACAGAACAATACATTTCAGTAAGAGTACTGAAAAACAATAGAAGATTCAGTAAAAGTACCAAAGAATAAAAAATAACATTCCTGAAGTACACTGGTGAACAAAGCATTACAGCAACACCACTAGGGAACAGAATAGTACAGCACGAACACTGGGAAAACGAACAGAAAATGTCAATGAGAACATTGGTGAAAGGAACAGAAGACTACAGCAAGAACACTGGGGAACAGAACAGAACATTACAGCAAGGATACTGGGTCTGAGAACAGAACATTACAGAAAGAACACCAGGGAACAGAACAGAACACTACAGCGAAAGTACTGGGACACAGAACTGGAAGATCTCTGGGAAAGAGAATAAAACATGACAGCGAAAGTACTGGGAAACAGGACTGGAAGATCTCACTGGGAAAGAGAATAAAACATTACAGCGAAAGGACTGGGAAACAGGACTGGAAGATCTCACTGGGAAAGAGAATAAAACATGACAGCGAAAGGACTGGGACACAGGACTGGAAGATCTCACTGGGAAAGAGAATAAAACATGACAGCGAAAGGACTGGGGCACAGGACTGGAAGATCTCTGGGAAAGAGAATAAAACATGACAGCGAAAGGACTGGAAGATCTCACTGGGAAAGAGAATAAAACATGACAGCGAAAGTACTGGGACACAGGACTGGAAGATCTCTGAGAAAGAGAATAAAACATGACAGCGAAAAGACTGGAAGATCTCACTGGGAAAGAGAAAAAAAACATGACAGCGAAAGGACTGGGAAATAGGACTGGAAGATCTCGCTGGGAAAGAGAATAAAACATTACAGCAAAAGGACTGGGAAACAGGACTGGAAGATCTAAATGGGAAAGAGAATCAAACATGACAGCGAAAGGACTGGAAGATCTCACTGGGAAAGAGAATAAAACATTACAGCGAAAGGACTGGGACACAGGACTGGAAGATCTCACTGGGAAAGAGAATAAAACATGACAACAAGAACACTGGAAAACACAGGAACACCACTGCGAAACACAACTTTTTCATGGAATCCAGCCTCAGCCTCGCGTATTGGGCTTATAGGGCTGGATTTATATTTTATATACCAATCAGACTTGGTGGGTGATTGGTCTGCATCACGTCGACCGCCTTTACTTCCCAAGAAATTACTTTGTAACCATTTAAATCTGGGTGGACCTGGGTAATATCTGGAGGGGAAAAATACAGCACTGTTCGGATTTGAACTCACGACTTTGGTATCTGAAGGCCAGAGTCTAGCCGCTACACCACTGCGGTTCACCTTTAATGTGTCCTTAATCGCCGTGGGCCAGCGGCTTTTTCAACATAAAGGATTCCTGCTGCACAACAAAACCATGGCAATATCCTCCTTCAGCAGGCTGCACTGACCCCGACCCGCGGCTGGAACACGCTGAGCAGCCAAGTGTCTTCAGTCGTTATCTTTCATTTTATGTCCTCCTTAGTGGCTATCTTTTTTTTTTTATGTCCTCTCATGTCGTTATCTTTTCCTTTATGTCCTCTCCAGTCGTGTACCGGTTCTGTAATTGTTTCCGACCACAAGTAGCGGTCTGCTGGGCTGGTATTGAGGTGCCTCTGTTGTGTGCTGCCTTCCACCTGCCCATACCGCATTCATCTCCAGCGGTCGCTATCGGCACTTGACTGGGGTCACCTGAGGTGAAGTGCCCGACCCCGACATACCTGTCAGGACTACCTGTGGCGTTATCGGCGTTGGGAGGCGGCTGTGAGGGCCCCTCGGGGATCAAACCTTGGGGGAAAACAAGCTCTCAGCGTCGCTTTTAATCTGCCAGTGATTGGGGCACGGATGGAGATTGCCTATGGCGATGGACCTGGTGAAGAGGCGTGAGAGCTGGAGAAGTGTCATTACACATTTCATTGGCGCGTTCATCTGCACATAATGATACTGGCATTCTGGCACTATCTTCGCAGTTTGCATACACCAACCATGATGCCTAGGGCGCGGTAGCGGCACTCAAAGACAATAGGAAGAGCGAGTTGCGTATAAAGGACACAGAAAACGAAACCTACTCTGCTACTACTGTTATTACTACTTTTACTGTTGCTACTACAACTGTTACTACCAGTACTACTGTTACTACTGCTACTGCTGCTGCTGCGGCTACTGCTACTATTTCTTCTTCTTCTACTACTACTACTACTACTACTGCTGCTGCTGCTGCTGCTGCTGCTGCTGCTGCTGCTGCTGCTGCTGCTGCTGCTACTACTACTACTACTACTACTACTACTGTATGTGAAATGTATGGTATATTGTCGACATATTTTACTGTAGATGAAGGTTAGGTTAGTTGCGTATCCTTTACAGGACGTTGCAGAACCAACTCCAGTAGCCCCTGGCTGTTGTGTGGTTTCTCTAGGCAAATTTACGTCCTGTAGTTTGCCATTGCTTTCTGGGGGGTCGGCTTCTTGATACTATTGTCGAAACCAACGTAAGGCGCATGGCCCGCAGCTGGGATCGAACCCGGCACCACGGCATTACGAAGCGTCTGCATCGACTTAGCCACAGAGCCGACAATAAAGATGAACTGTACGGTATATCGTCGCAAATATATTTTACTGTATGTAAACTGTAAGGTATGATGTCGATTTTTTTCTCCAGAAACCATGAGTTGTACACCTTTTAGCTCATAAATCGCGACCCTTTAGCCTTAATTCCATGACGGATACAGTAAATCTAGGAAATAGGTGGCTTTTCTGCCTACCCCTGAGCGTGAACTCAGGCCACAAGATGTTCGTCACCCGGTCGCCCACGCAGCTGGTTTATCCAACGTAGCTAGCGTGCCGGGCGTATACTGACGATATGATAATTTTCCTGTAGGTGAATTAATGAAATCGGGAACTGATTGCAGAGTCCGAACAAACAATCAGCCGAGCTGGGAAATGCCGGGAAAGCTTACCCCTGTAATAAATACACTCAATTGCCTACAATTGATTGAAATCTGCCCGTCCGTGGACCAATGTAATTGCCGGATTGTTGTGAGGTAATGGCGGCGACTTGGCCGTCACAGAGCCCGGAATCCACGAAGGGCAGGCTCCCGAGTCGCTCATCCCTCGACGGCTCCCAATCCGCCAATAAGGGGGGTGTACTGGGGGAGGGGGAGGGGGCAGGGAGGTCGTGACGAATGGACAACAGAGAAATCAGCTTTCGAAAGGTCAGGCAAACCGAAGCTGTCGGATTGTCAGATCTGCCCCCCCCCCCCCAACTCCCCACCCCCACACTCTCACACACACAAAACACAACTTTCCTCTGAGGGGAGTGAGTCGTTTTAACATTGGGAACTGAGAGGCCATATTCGTATACTGTGTGGATACCACTGTCGGTTTTGTGTTTTCTCTGGTTGGTTGTCTGGTTGGCTGGTTGGTGTGTTGTCTGGTTGGTTGACTGGTGTGTTGTATCGCTGGCTGGTTGGTGTGTTGTCTGGCTGGATGTGGGTTGCCTAGTTGGTTGTCTCGTGTGTTGTCTGGCTGAATGGTTGGGTGTCTGGTTGGTTGCGTGTGTTTTGTCTGGTTGGATGGTTCGTTGTCTGGCTAACTGGATGGTTGGTTGTCTGGTGTGTTGTCTGGTTTGTTGGCAGGTTTGCTGGCTGGTTTGTTGTCTGGTTGCTTGATTGACTGCTGAATAATTTTTGGATTTGATTTGCTGCATAGCTGGATAACTGATTTCTTAAAATGCAGAAGTGATTGACTGGTTTATTGCTTCTAAATTTTAGTTCTTAAGTCCAATGTTTTCAGTAGTGTTAGTGGTCACGACAGTAGTAGTAGCATCAGTAGCGGTACTAGTACTAGCAGCATTGGCAGCAACAGCAGTGCGATCAGTAGTGGTAGTATTAGCAGCAACACTAGTAGTAGATAGTAGTTACATTAGTCAGTAGTAGTAGATAGTAGTTACATTAGTCAGTAGTAGAAGTAGTAGTAGCAGCAGCAGCAGCAGCAGCAGCAGCAGCAGTAGTAGTAGTAGTAGTAGTAGTAGTAGTAGTAGTAGTAGTAGTAGTAGTAGTAGTAGTAGTAGTAGTAGTAGTAGTAGTAGTAGTAGTAGTAGTAGCAGAAGCAGCAGTAGAATGAGAAGGAGGAGCAGCAGCAGCAATTGTAGTAACAATAGCAGTAAGAGTAATGTCAGCAGCATCACTGGCAGCAGTAGCAGCAATAGTTGTTGTTGTTGTTGTTACCCACACTATACCTCAGTGGACCGAGAGATGAAGCAGAAGCCAGGTAGGGGGCTGCAGCGGCGGACAGACAGGCAGCCTGCAG